ATTGTATTTCAGTTGCTAAATTTGAAACGCCTATTGAATGTCTAAATGGAGGTTTCACTTTAAAGTTCATCTTCAGGGGCTGGGAATTTAGCTCAGCCGCAAAGCGCCTGCCTGGCAAGCGCAAGGTCGTGAGTTCGGTTCCTGGTACCGGAGAAAAACAAACAAAAAAAAAAATAATAATAAAGTTCATCTTCATAAAGATATTTAGTGTCATGAGACAGGATGAGGTCCTATAATGAGCTTATAGAGAATCTAGATATATAGAAAAAAGGGCCCACTCAAACATTTGATATTAGTAAGAAGACGAGAATACAACAGAAAAGTACTGGGAAGGATAGCCAGTACTGTAGCCACTGCTCTCAGGAGTAGCCAGAGACAAGGAAAGAAAAAAACAATACAACCAATACAGTATGATTTGTATTGGAGCAAGATAATGTATTTCAAGAAATAGAAAAGATTTTCTGTGTCAAATGATGCAATGGGGTCAGAGGGTGAAAACTAAGAATGGATCATAGAACTTGGAAACTTGGAGGTCATTGATTACCTTGCTAGTAAAAAAGAAAAAATATGTGGTGAGACATACATAGCATAACATTTACAATTTTAACTACTTTTAAGGCAAAAATTCAATGGTACTAGGTGCATTCACACTGCTTTGCAGTTATCACCATCTTCCATCTGCAGAACTTCATCTTCCTGAACTGAAACTGGGTAGTCATTAAACAATAATTCTTTATTCCCTCCTCCCCTCAGTCTCTGGGAAGCACTACTCTGCTTTCTGTCTCTTTGAACTTAACAATTGTAGGTACATTACATAATGGATAATTTGTGATTGGCTTATTATGATTAGCATAATGTCTCCAAGGTTCACTTGTGTTGTACTATGTGTGTCAGAATTTCCTTCCTTTTTTAGACTGAATAACATTCTGTTTCCCACCCATCCATGAGTGGTCACCTGGATTGCTTTTACCTTTTTATTATTATGAAAAGTCCTGTGATGAAGATAGGTGTACAAATAAGTGTTTGAGTCCCTACTTTTAATTTTTTCACACATATATGATATGGAGGAAATGTCATAGCATTTTCCATAGTAACTACACTATTTCACACACACCCCCAGCAGGGCACAGGGTTTCTATTTCTCTACATTCTTGCCAACACTTGTTATGTGTGTGGGAGAGGGGTATACCATATAAGGTTTTTTTTGTTTTGTTTTGTTTTTGGTTTTTGGTTTTTCTCCGGTACCGGGAACCGAACTCATGACCTTGCGCTTGCCAGACAGACGCTTTGCCGCTGAGCTAAATCCCCAGCCCCGGGGTATACCATAATAAGATGTGAACAATTGAAAAATTTTAAATCTCTTTGTTGCTGCACAGATTTATATATAAAAACTGTGAAATGGTTTATTTTTCCATTTCAAAGCCTCTCTGGGCAACTATTTGTCCAAGGAGTATGAAAAGGCATTGATTTGTCAAAAGCATTACTTTAAACAAAATCTCTTGGTCTCTAGATGAAATAGGAAAATACCTAACTGTACCCATTGGCTATTCTCTCATATGACAAATACCTACTGAATATAAGCACATTCAGTTCTACATCAGGTACAATTCTAGTCACTGGGAAGGCAGCCTTGAAAAAAATAATAATACAGTCAAAAATCCTCAAAAACTTTACAGTCTAACAGGAAGAGAAACAGAGTTTTAAGGAAAGAAATTTGTAGTTTAAGGAGTGGAAGATATATGTGATGCCATGGTTACTAAACTTCTTCCATCCAGGGTCTACATAAGGGGATGTACAATATTACTTGGACCAGCTAGACCCACCAATGATTAATGCGAACGACCTCTCCAGGGGAAATTAAATTAGAAAAGTATACTGCTATGATAAGACCCCCAATAAGCTTTATGTTACCTATCACACATAAATGTTCTTTTCATAACAAAATCAAGATTTTTAGAATAAGAACAGTATCACAAATACATAGTAATACTAAAACAAATCAGCCTTTCCACCACTCCATGATCACCCTCTAGAAATTAAAGATTTAAATTGGATGTATATTTGACAAGATTCTTCACATATGTGTCTTTTTGTTCATATACTCTCCTTCCTTGTAATCCTGGCTTTGCACACCTTCACATAAATGAAGCTCTGCAATCTCCACCACCACTCCAAATAAAAAGAACCTTAATATGAGGTTTTTATATTCAACTGAAACAATTTTAACTGATTTTTTAAAATTGGATTCCACTTAAATCTATCTGAATAAACATTGCACAAACAAAGCACTTTTAACTGCCGTGGGATCTTCTGCAAAGTAGTTACAATACTGCACATGCAAGATATCATCTTATCTATTTATCCCTGACTTTTCTTTTATATGCATTAACAACTCAAAATTATAGCTAAGCTATGTAGGCATATGAAAAATTGTTTACAGCACAGGTTCAAAACAAACTTCCATAATCAGGCTTATTAAGATTTAAAAGTATTGGTTAATATGTCCAACCAGTACAAACAGAAAAAAAAAAAAAAATCAGTCCAGGTACATAAAGATTGTATGTGCACATTGGTGAGATATTTAAGTACTTGAACAACAAAAACCATTTGATTTTTTAGGGTGATTGAATTTTTAACTTACTAATTTACAATTTAGTATTTTATTATGAAATAACATTTACAGGGAAATAAATAAGAGGTATTAGATGAGAAAAGCATGTGACAGTATTTAGGTTATTAACAAGCAACATATTTTCTCTTCCAATTAAGTGGAGAATTCCAGTTCTCTGCTACATAGAACTAGATCAGCCTGCTTTAGCTGGCACTAGTAGTGAGAGTAGTGTGTGTTTTAAGACATAGTATGACTTAAAAGGTAGTGTGTGCTTCCTCGTGTTTTTTTATTTCCTCTGCCTTGATAATGGCAATGGCAATACCTTCCAGACAGAGGTTCCTCCATCACCATGGGTCTGAGCATTAGGAAAATGACAACAGCCAGGTGTGGTGGTACATGCTTGTAATCCCAGCACTCAGAAGGCTGAGGCAGGAGGGTTGCTACAAGTTCAAAGCCAACTTGGGCTACAAAGGGAGTTCAAACCCAGCCTGAACTGCATAGCAAGACCCTCTCTCAAAAAACAAAGAAGGAAGGAAGGAAGAGAGAGGAAGAAAGAGAGAGAGAGGAAGGAAGGAAGGAAGGAAGGAAGGAAGGAAGGAAGGAAGGAAGGAAGGAAAGAAAAAGAAAGAAGGAAGGAAGGAAAGAAAAAGAAAGAAGGAAGGAAGGAAAAAAGAAAGAAGGAAGAAAGAAAAGAGACAATGATGTAACAGTTTCCATCTTTGATGAACACAAAGCATGAATGACAAAGGTTTGTTACTTTAAGGTACTGAGGCTTAGTGGTGGTAACTGCAGCATAAGCCAGTCCATTCTGATGGGTACAGGATAAAAGAAAATAATGCCAAATGCCACATAAGAGAAATTTGGATAGAGTTTAGGTGAGTCTTTAAGGTGCCCTAGATCATCAAAAGCAGCAAAGTCAAAACCGGAGCCAGGTTCTTGACTCACAATCCTTCCAGTTTAAGCTTGAGTTATTTGCTTTCCCTCAAAAAAAACTACATTTTTCCAAACAGGAAACATTGTTTTAGATTGTAAAGGGGCATTTCACTATTCTGAAATAAAAGGATGGCATAAGTATGACTAAGTATTTTATATTGAAATAAGAACAAAATTATCACTTTGGAGAAAAACTAACAGTAATTCTCTTTCCACTAAGTAAGTTTCCTAAATATGCTTTAAAATAATTTTAGTCTTAACATTTAATGTTTGGGTAATGCTTAAATGTAAGGCGATTTTACAATAAAAATAGAAATGTTCCATATTTTAAGATGAAAATCCTTTCTGGAGAAAAGGTTATTTTAATCTTTTAAAATAAAAAACAATTTCTGTCTTAAAATTATATATAGTTAGATATACCGTAGTGAGAATAAAGACGCATAGGTTTGTGTTTGCCAAAAAGATATAGTCTGACAAAGAATGTTATTACATCTATATTATAGGCCACAGTTACACCATGAAATATCAGTATTTAAAATAATTTTGGCCTAAGTATGGGTTTATGGAATTCACTTTAATCCAGGAACAAGTAAATGCATTTGTAAAAGTCTAAAATTCTTTACCCACCACATATTTACAGTTCAGATGAAGGAACATGCGTGGCTTTGAAATTTCTTCAGTAATCTTCACATGAAATTTTCTTGTTACATACAAAATCAGTGAAAACCACTATAGCACAACTTGTCACAAGGTGTGCCATGTCAGTAGTTAGCAGGGAGATAAATTAGGGGTAAAGAAACACTAATGTTTCAAATGCTGCAAGGTTCTTCATATTTAGATCAAGAACAGCCAAGCCCAAATCACCGAAATGAAACAAAGACAGGGAATTTTGATAGAAACTTAAAAGCTTGAATAAATTATTGCTGTTTAAATGTGTTTATCTCCTGTATCACAATTTAATTTCTGGGCACTGCAGTAAACAGACTAAGTTAATTTTACTTTCTGTTGTCTAATGAAGTTCTGAGGCATGGGGTGGGAATCCATCTGTTTATCATTTATATAAGGTTAAGACAGCACAATCAGATTCAAATCCAAGGGCCCTATCACACACGGATAGTAGATCTCATCCTAAGTATCCCCTCACCACACACCCATATAAACATACAGCTTTACTTATGTTATGTCTGGAAAATATTTCCCAACTTGGAGTTGGTGGTCACTGAGAATGGGTAATTGGCTACCTTGTACATGCGCAGCTGTATGTATGCTCTTTCCGCTAAGCATAATTTGGAGGAAAAAGCATCCTAGACAGATGTCTGCTCCATGGTTTAAAAGAGTATGTGATACCATCCACATTTTTCACAGCTAAACCCTTGAAAACTGGGAGGCAGACAAAGGAACCCAAACGTGAAGAGCATTCATTAAAAGATGTAAATAGCCAAGATCCATGCTGTTTTGTTTCAATCTTCTTTATACGGTTGAAAACAGGAAAGCCTCCTGTCACGCAGACTCCAGGATTCTCAGGGCCCAATAAAGGTTAGTGACATTTTCAATTCATGTTTGTCTTCATTCTTCTAATCATGAACCCTGTGTCAGCCTGAGAAACCAGCTGAGCGTAATCCATAACCTTTTACAAGGGAAACATTAACTCACAGCTCGTTCTGATGTCTTTTTAATGTAATACAAAAGCAAAAGCAAAAACACCCATAACACACAGGATAAAAACATGATTGCCAGATGAGAAAGTTGGTTGAGACTTTCACAGCACAGTTCTACCTACTTTAGTGGTCAATATCACTAACACTAATAAATGTAGCCCAGGGGGCAGATAAACACAACAACCAGAGTAACATGCAAATGAGCAAGAAGCAATTACTAAAATCTTTCAAGTTTCCCACTAATTGCTTATGCAGAATTCTTAATAGAATAGAAATACATCACAGAAAATACTTTTTTATCAATCTATAAACTATATAAAGTTAACGCACTGTGGAGGGCAGTCTTCCTAGCTAAGTGGGTGCATTTCTAAGTACATAAATGTACTAGTGTATCTACATGTGCAAGCACCGCATTGTTTCACTAGTGTAAATCTTGAAAGAGTTAATTCAAACTCAGAGGTATGATAGACACTGTGAAAGGATAGGAAACCGCTGAAGAGTAAAGGGCAACTGGGATGTGGGAAAAGAGAAGGGAAAGAAGGAGAAATTTTGTATGTATGTATATACATGTCAGTTAACATGGTTGTTCTTCTGTCTTCTATTTCTATGCTGAAAGAAACTGTCAATGAGTCTTGGGTTGACCAGTATTGCATGTCTATATCTGTTTTCATGAGAAGCCACTTTGAAGATATCAATATGTAATACAACAACCATTGTTAATTCCCTACCACTTTGTTTGTAACTCTGTATTGTCTGTACTGTGCTTGTGATATGTTGTAAAATGTTGTATGTCTGTTAACGTTTCCCTCCTTTTATCTTTAAAATAAAAAAAAATGTACTAGTGTATCATCTTTCCTAACGCCCATATGGACTGTTCTATAAGATGCTCAGCATCCCAGATATTAAGTTCATATCTAAATTACAGCACAAAACATGGTTCCTAATTGTTTTACCAATCTTAATAATTTGCCAGACTGAAGCTGAATCACCAAAACCATCTTCTGGAGAGTATGTTTCTAATCAAATAACTAATAAAAAACAGACTTTGCTATCCCAACTATGATTCTTTGCATCCGAGTACTAACTGGCATAAGCATCAGAGACTTCAGGGAACCCAGGAAGTAACTAATAAGTAGAATGCAGTGAATTGAACAATGGAGGAGCACTAGCCTTGTGTAGTCAATTCTCTCATATATCGAGAAGACAAAGATCAACATTCACACCAATAGCAGTGCCATTTTTCTGTTTCAGATAAAGCAAGCAGTATATGACAATAAAAGTTCTGTATTATGTGACATAATTTATCCATCAAAAGAAAAGCATACCTCGCCAACAACATAAATGGAGCATCCTGCTGAAGGTATGAAACCAAGAAATATGCAGACCATGAAGGTTTACATTTTTCATTCCTATTTCCTAAGACACACACATACAAGCCTCAATGGCTAAAAATATTCCAGTGAATACAACACAACTCAAAGTTTGGAGGAATCAGGAGATGAGCAGAAATGAGCTAGGGATCCTGGTCTCTATTAACATTTATTTCATTAGCTCTAATTGCCTCATTATTATAAACATTATTATATTCATATTTGTTTCATCTCAAACTAATTTAATTGATAGAATTCTGTGTCCTTGCTATTATATGATACAATTAGTTCTCATTAGCTCACATTTCACTCATTTTCTCCTGACTGATTGCACTCCATACTGACGCTCACTAATATCAATATGCAATGTAATCAGGAGTAAAATGTTGTTACAGTATCTCTGAAACTATCACGCTTATCATTCTGATTGTCTCCAAAGTACCAATAGTCTTTCTACAATTTCTGTCTTAATAATGTAAAATTTGGTGCTAATAATAAAATTTTTTACTATATTATCGACACATTGATTATCATTTAGTCATTAGGACAAATTATTAACAAATTTTAGAAGACAAGCTGTCATTTGCTCATGTAGCCTTTAAATCAGAGAAAATGAAACGTTAATTATTTCTTTGGTCTTCTAAATCAGAAGGGCTTTCTTTCCCTCTTTCCTTTACTATTTTTTTTATCGTTTTGCTCTTCCGGAACCATTTGGAGAGCTTCAGGAAAGCAAGAACCTGCCACTGATGCTTTGCCCTTTGATCATCTACAGCACGAAGTCTACAATGACATAAGCAAAGCGTAGAGATTTGACTATATGATTATGATGTCAGAAATGCCAAAGATTGAAAGAGAAGGAAAGGGAAAAGGGTTTTTGTAATCAATTTTATAAAATCCATGGGGCATTTAGTGGGGCCTATTTGGAAAATGTCCTGCTAGTTTACTCAGATAAAATATACACCTAAATTCTCTTCCTGGACCATTTTAGTGCTGTAACTTAAAATGTGAATTTGTCCACACACATAAATAAAACACTTGCTGTAAAACACAAGAATTATACCCTGTGGTTCCCACTAAGCTACAGATCATTCTGAGAGGAATAATGGCACAACAAACCCAAATGTATTATTCCTCTGAGCAGAACCCCTCAACAACATGTGTATTCAGTGGTCCTTTCAGCTGGTCTTGAGCAAACTCACAAGGTGTAAAACACACACTTGGACACACACGCACACAAATACTGAATGCCAGAAAATTTAAAGTAGCAAATTACTTAGTGGTTTTGATTTTTGAAAAGTTCAAAACAAAAATCATTTGAAGTACATACAAAAAAGGGACCATAGATCCACATTACTTTTGCAGAGCAGAATCCTACCTCAAATAATGGCAGAAGACATCTAAATACCAGAGTTGCTGTAATAATCCCTGCTTGAATCATGGTTTTCCTGAACTGGGTTAAGCCTTTAGACAGAAACTAATTGCTACAAACACTAATTTTCAAGTCCCTTTTGTTTCCCTTTGCAGGCACCTCTGGACGCAGAAGGTACCCAATTAGCAGAATTCATGGTCCTGATTGTGTATTGTGGGGCTAGCGTGTGAGCTGTATAAACACTGTTGATTACCATCCCTCCGTAATGGCTGATTTTTTGATTGCTTAATAAGGCCATCTATTCTGCATCGGGGCCTGGCAAAGCAGTTGGTGAAATCAGTTAGGTCACTTTTTTCGGGTCCGAGTAACAGGAGGAGTCTGTGATGGTAGCCGTTGACTAAAAACATAATTACAGGCTATTTAATTGCATCTGTTTCCCCACTTAACATTGTTTGTTCAAGTTAGATAGTTAAGTAAATCAAAAGGACAATAACGGCAAAAACACTAAAAAATTACCATTACATGGTTAAAACTCTAGGGCTTCATATAATTATAGAAAACATCGCTCGTGGTGATTTTTTTTAAGGTACTAATTTTTATTAGCTTCTATACACATATTTTATTTATTTAGCTGTTTCCAGATTTTTTAGAATGTTTTTAAATTCCGTGTTATGTAAATAAGTATTTGTCTGACAGGACTGATTTTATGTGAAGGGTCCTACAGGGTGATATTGTTTATGATGATGAATTTTATGTGCTCATCCAATGTCATAATTAGCAGCCAAGGAACGCCTCCCCTGTTTTGTGATTAATACCTAATCCCATAAACACACCTTCTACTACACAGAATTGTCTAGATGGATGAGGCCAAGTTAGCCTCATATCCAAGGGCACTGCCATTTACCCTGCGCTGCCCACATTCTCCCTCTGAGTGCCATACCTGTAATTTATCCATAATGCAAAACAGCTCTACAATAAAAGGGATAAACTGAAAAGCACCCAGACAGCCAGAGCTGCCAACAGGCATGGAGCCCATGTTCCAGTGCTGCGAGGCAGGCCATTGAATCCAGCAAGGATGACGAATCGGTAGCAGGTCAGATGAAGAGGTAGCTGCTCTTTCAGAAACATACACTGAACTCAGTACTGCATCTAGCACGTTTGTAAAGTGATTTACAAGTGCACCAGACAGGTATTTCATTAAACAGCCCACAGGATATGTTTTTAGAATGTGGGTCTTTTGTTAGTTGATACAACAGAGAAAGCTACCTTTCGTAAGCACCCAGCAGACTGTAGCATCCTGACAGAGGCAGATTTATAACTGAGAGCTGTCCTCCACCCCCAGATTTTCTAAAAGGGAGCCCCTGGAGTGGCAATTAGTGCAGAGCCCTTAGGAGAGAAAGGTGTCTCCCTCAAAGCACAATGGTCTTGTTCAAAGCTGTTTCTCGGGACAAGGAGACTATAATTCCAACACTGATTTTAAAAGAAACAAGTGTGAGACACATTACGAATATCACTTTTTGAACTATACCACCTGCCTGACAAATCCAAATGTGTGCAATAGGGCAGAATTTAGTTTAAATTGGTTTTAAGATTATGCATGATTTTACAGTATCACATAGTTTTAATGTTGGCAGAGTATCCTGAGGAAAATGGGTACACCACAGTTACCATACATACAATGAATGAAATCTTTCACAGAGTCCAGCTTGTACGGAGACACAGTGCCATCTGCTCAGCTTCCAGCCACTATTTGTGTAATGCTAAAATGTTTACTGAGGGTTCACTATATATTAGGTACTATATTAGGCAGGTATTAAGATCTTGAGAGCAGAGCACTGAAGCAAGCATGGCTCCTGGCCTTAGAGAGCTTATAGTCTAATGGTGGATAGGAACAAGTAAGTCTTAGTAAATATTCTCGACTAGGAAAGTAAAATACAGCCTATCTGCTTTCAAGTGCACCCGCAAAAGTGTCCGTTTTTAAGGCTCCCAAATCAAAGAGTGGGAACATGTTGACACTGACAGACCTGTCTCTGTTTTCTGGTATGAGCAGCCATTGGCAGAGTCTCACAATAGACCCCACGAACACAGAGATGCTTCTGGATAACGTCCTCTGCGAGAGATACCTGGAGGCCCAGACAGCCTCAGTCTTCCCTGACGCTCTCCTTCTTTCTGAAGAGTAATGGAGAATGAAGATTTCCACAATGACTCCCACAAGTATGGGCCCCAGCCCAGCAGCAGCAGCATTCCTTGTAACTTATTAAAAAGGCAAATCCTCAGGGCGCACACCAGACCTGCTGAATCTGAAGCTCTGAAGTTGGGACCCAGAAATCTGTGGTTTTACAAGACTCCCGGTGACTTCAGTGCACGTTCAAGTTTAAGAACCACTGGCTAATCCCAAAATTTCTCCCAGGAACAAGAGACAATCCGGAGGCAGGAAGGCTGCGGAGTCAGGAATCAGGGATAGCTTAGGGAAATAAGGACCCCCAGTGTACTCTCCTTGCCTGCAACAATTAAATCTTTCTTCTAAGATGGTGTATGGTGAAAACGTTCTGTCAGTTTTTAAATCATCAGATTAAACCTTCAAAGGTTACACAATACTACTGATGAGGAATAGTGCTGCATTTTATTGGACTAAGTGTTCAAGGAAAAACAAAGCCCAACTCTTAACTGCACAGTGATTGTGTAATTTGTTTTCTTGTGCAGGACAGGTTTCTAGCCCCTTCTGCAAGAGGGAGCACCAGCAGCCTTAAGAGAGTGTGATAGCAAGTGGAGGGAGAAGGGGCTGCAAGACTGGGAGAGGGTGATAAGAAACTCGGAAATAAGGGAGAGCAGAAGCAAGGGGATGGGCGCTGTCTGCAGAGGGTAACGGTGGGTTCGATGCAGTTACAGTAAAGCAATTAATGCTCGAGGCAATGACAATACTGCCTCAAGGAAAAGTTAAATCATGCTCAGTGTACTCTTTACAATGATTATATCCATTCAAAACTTTTAGGGGGTGTGTAAAGGCATAAGCTTTAGTTATTTAGAAAGTTAATAGTTAGGGGCCGGGGGTATAGCTCAGTGGCACAAGAGCCCTCCTGGCAAGTGCAAGGTCCTGTGTTCGATTCCCAGTACCAAAAAAAAAAAGAAAGTTAACATTTAAAACATGTTTTTCAACAGTTCTGGATAAACAAAATCTTTTGTGATTTTTTTTAAATCCTAGATGAAGAAAAGACCATGGCAAGACTACCAGACAGAAATTTAACATCTGGCCGCTGGTTGCGATTCAACCTACTGTGAGGCAAAAAGCAAATGAGTAAGTGCTAGGTCATTCATTTCTTGAAGGAGAGAGACTAGGTAACCTCTCACATCGCTTATGGCTTTAATTTTTTAAAAGTATTGTATAAATCTCTACTTTAATGTCAGCCCCAGGCCAAGAATACTTTTCTTTGAAACTAGACCCCCTAAAAATCTAGCATCTCCCTCAGGAACCCATCCCTCCCACACTACCTACCCTTACAAGTTAGAGGATTTAATAATTCACCTTGAGTGGTTACAATTCAGAGCTGCAATATTCTTGGAAAAGGAATGTCATACTACATTGTATTTTTTCCAAGAAATTGTTTAATCTATATAAGTTATTTGACTCGGTGATTAGCAATCTTTGTGCCAAGATAGCTCCTAATCAAATTCTGGCAGAATATAAGTACCATTGAAAAGAAAGCATACAGATCTTTCTTCTGAGAAGTACGTATTTTTCTTTCTGGTTGAGCAATGTTATGCAACAAATGCTTCCAACTGGCTTTCTATCAAGGAAAATCATTACAGATGAAATGCTCTAAGGGACATGATCATAGGAGCCTGCGCTGCTTGGAAGTAATTACATTCATGCTGATAATTAGAAGAAATAGTCTGTGTAGTGGATATAGTACAATCACCTTTCACCACTGGTCTTGGATTTGATTTCTCCAAGGAATGCCAAGAAAAGCCTTTATTTAGCTGCAGTTCATGCTTCCCTCAACCCACTTATTTTATAACGTAAAAAGAAAGGTCTGAAAAAAAAGTATGGGCACCTTGACATTTTACCTGCTTTGTTTTTAATGAAATTTTTCTTCTTTGAAGAGACTATAAAGCAGGTACCGGCATCCAGCCACTAGGTGCTTATTTATCATCTCATACTCTTACATATCCTAAAATGCCATAATCACCTCTAAAATTTCCTCCTAGATTGCTCTGCTAGCTTGTATACCATGTGTATATAAACAAAGGTCTTTCTTAACCATCAAAACAGCAGTATGTACACAGAAAAGTGTGTACCCACAACCCTGGGACCAAGTCCCAGAGCTCAGAATTGAAGAATTAAATCTGCCTCCAAAGCCATCACTAGGTCAGTGTACATATACATGGGTAGAGCAATTTATCAGAATTGATGTTTCTACCCCAACAGTGCATTGACTGTGGTGAAATTGGAATAAAATTGACAGTAATTCTCTTTTTTATTTTAGAGTGAATCTGTTGCCTGTAATCACTACAAAGGGAAATTTGTTATAATTTCACTTCTTAATCAAATGGCCGTTCAAAGAGCAGAGAGGGCACTAAACCAAAGAGACACTTCTAGGTCCTCAGCCTGTCTAAAATAGTTAATTCTGTTGCCCTCCCCCATGCTCCTCAAAACTCGTTTTGGGTTTCCAGAGGCTATTTCTCCTTTCTCTTTCCTGTTTCACTGCTTCCCTCTGTCTGCCCCATAAGCATCCAATTTCCTGTAAGATTATTATTTTGCTTGTTTATTTTGCAGTACTAGGGATTGAACCCGGGGCCTTCCCACTAAGCTACATCCCCAGCCCTTCTTTTAGCGTTAGTTTTTAAAATTTTGAAACAGGATCTCACTAAGTCACTGAGTTACCCAGGCTGGGTTTGAATTTGTAATCCTCCAGCCTCAGCCTCCCAGAGTAGTGGGATTATAGGCCTGTACCTTTACGCCCAGATCCTCAAAGGTTTTCTACCCAGCCTTTTCCTTATTCTATACTCTCTCTCCAGGAGAAGGCAGCATCTTTGGGTAAAATCAAATAAATCTAGATATAAATCCCAGTTGTACCATTCAGCTAATTTTTACCCTGGAGGCCCAGTTTCCTTTCAAACTTTCCTCTCAGGATCCATGTGGAGAATTAGTGAGACAATAGCTAAACATGGAGCAGAAAACCCTGCTCATGAAGAGGTTGCAGGGGAAAAGAAATATCTTTTCCTCCTACCATAGATTCATGGCTGAGGCCCCAGTGACAAGACAGATTAATCAGAGAAAAGCACACCAGTGTATTTAATCTAAGTTTTGTACTGCACAGAAATCTTTGAAAGTGAAAAGCCAAAGAGAGGTAAATTATGCATTTTTATACTTAGGTTGGATGAAGAGGTGGATAGTTATGGAGAAACATGACTGGGTAGCGGGGATATAATGTAAAGGGGAAATCTAGCAAAACATACTTGTTGAGATTCCTCTTGCCACCTTTGTGTCTTTAGCTCCTTTAACCTCTGTACAAGCATTAAGTATCTTGTGATATCTGCTTCAGGCAGGAAGGATGAGGAGATGAGAGTGGCCTTCCTGCTTCTATCACTTCCTCAATACCGAGGTATCTCATTTTGGAACTGCATTGTCCTGAACCTTAACAAGGTACTGATGAATTTATGCTCATCCTCTTTCTCTTCTTCCCTGAGCAAATGTTTTCACACCCACAGCTCTAAAATAATTCATGGAAAAGTCTACATGGCTGTTCCCAATATGTAGGGGATAACCAAATCTATATGCATACAGTTCACATTCTTATTACCACCAGCCCATTGACACTAGGCAGACAGGAACCTAAAACTTAGCACACCCAGCCAACTATTCTCTTTTCACCTGCCCCACTGTTGTGCGTTGCACTGTATGCCTTCCAAATTCATATGTTGAAGTCCTAATGCTTGGTATCTCAGAAAGTGGCCTTAAATCTAACACTCATTCCTGATAAAAACCCTAGAGAAAGTTGGAATAGATGGTCTTTACCTTAATCTGGTAAAAGCCATCTATGACAAACCAACAGCCAACATCATACTAAATGGACAAAAACTGAAAGCTTTCCCTTTAAAATCAGGAACAAGACAAGGATTCCACTGTCACCACTCCTATTCAGTGTACTTCTGGAAACATTAGCCAGAGCAATTAGACAAGAGAGAGAAACAAAAGGAATAAGGATTGGAAAGGAATAAGTGAAATTATCATTATTCACTGATGACATGATACTCTACATGAAAGACCCCAAAAACTCCACCAAAAGAATCCTAGAATTAATAAACAAATTCAGTAGCATAGCTGGATACAAAGTCAACACTCAAAAATCAATAGCATTCCTGTACACAAACAACAAACTCACTGAGAGGGAAATTAAGGAAACCATACCTTTCACAATAGCATCCAAAAAAAATAAAATACTTAAGAATCAATCTAATAAAGGAAATAAAAGATAAATACAGTGAAAATTACAGTACTCAAAAAGAGATCAAATAGAATTTCAGAAAATGGAAAGATGTTCCTTGCTCATAGACAGGAAAAACCAACATTGTGAAAATGGCCATACTCCCAAAATTGTTATACAGATTCAATGCAAACCTGATTAAAATACCATTAGTACACCTCACAGATGTAAAAAAAAAATCCTAAAATTCATCTGGAACCAGAAGAGCCCTAGAACGGCAAAAGCAATCCTGGGCAACAACGGCAAGGTGGCATCACAATCCCAAACCTGAAATTATGCTACAAAGCTACTGTGATAAAATCAATATGGTACTGGCAAAAAAACAGGCCTGAAGATCAATGGAACAGATTAGAAGATGCAAACACACCTGCAAACACACTCAGCCACTTTACCTTTAACAAAGGGGCCAAACACGTACACTGGCAGAAAGATAGTCTCTTTAATGAATGGTGCTGGAAAAACCAGCTTTCTACATGCTAAAGACTAAAATTAGA